CTCATCTCTGTGTTGTGGACCCCTACTCCTTTGGCAGCCTGGGGAAAAGCCCATGGATCCTGCTTAGCAGTATTTTTAAATGCATGAAACAAAATATGTAATACACAGGAAATTAATTATGTTAAGATACAGATAATAACAAAGTATTTTTAAAAATGAATCCCAAGTTCACTGACCCTGATTAAGAACCGTTCTGATTCCCAGCTTGATAGTACTAGTTCTTCTTTGTCTGGATTGAACTGCAGGGCTTAAGGGCTTTCCTTTTCCTTGTTAAAGATGCCTTCCAGGCACTACTTTTAAGATTATCAGCCGCGAATTCGGTAATTCTTTTATTCACAAAGAGAGAGAGATCTGTTTCCCTGAGTTCACTGGGCAAGTTGGAGAAGAAAAAGGGAGGAAGTGACTTAAAAGGAATGGGGTTTATGTGAGAAAGAAATTACCGGACCTTAAATCATCTGAGCTGTGAATGAGGAAAGACCAAGGAAAAAGTGGAAACTAGTGGCGTGGGCACAGCGCCCTAGGAGGAAGGAAGAAGGGAGATGATAGGGAAGAAATGTATGGGTTCTGAGACTTTTCTTTGTCAGCCATTAAGCTACTGGCCCAGGAAAATCTTGGTTGCTGTCCAACACAGGTGGAGAGAGGAAAAAGGAATAAAAGATAGCAAAAGGTGAAGAAGTAGTATATAGCTAGCCAGCTAGTTTCACATATATTTATAGTGTCTAGAGCCTTTAAACTCTCTCTAGCTCTTGCCACCCAGACTTCCTAGCTAAGTATACTTGAAAACTTCTAAGGGTAGAATAATGGGTGTCACCTTGCTCCTGCAATCTCCTCTATTCTATCACTGCTTGCTCACGTATGTTGAGCCTTGATTACCCAGAGAAATAAATAGCAATAATACCAGGAACCATGAATTTCTTAGAACATTCTAGGAGATAGACCCAAATAATTGGAGAAATATTAATTGTTCATGGATAGACCAAGTCAGTATGATAAATATGACATATTTGTATGTGCATACATAAAATACCGAAATTAGTTTAGTCATTGCCACACTAATCAAACTACCAAAGGATTACTTTGTAGAACTAGGGAAAAAATGACTAAATTCATCTGAAGAAACAAAAGGTCAAGAATATTAATGATAAATTATGATGATAAATTATAAATGATACTTGATAAATTTTGATAAATAATGATAAATTATACATGATATAAGCACTGCTGCCACCCATTATTCCACCCTTACAAGTTCTGAAGTACACTTAGCTAGGAAGTCTGGGTGGCAGGAGCTAGAGAGAGTTTAATGACTCTAGACATTACAAATATGTGTGAAAATAGCTGGCTGACTATATGCCACTTCTTTACCTTTTGCTGCCTTTTATTCCTTTTCCCTCACTCCACCTGTGTTGGGCAGCAACCAAGATTCTCCTGGGCCAGCAGCTCAGTGGCTGAAATGATGAAAGAAAAAAATGGGAAAGAAGGGAACTCGCACTTCCAGATCTCAAGATCTATCTTTTATTCCTTTTCCCTCTCTATAAAGCAATAACCATCAAAATAATTTGATGTTGGTAATAAAATAGAGAGGCTGCCTAGTCAATCATCACTCAGTCAACAAACATTTATTAAATGTTTACTATGTGCCAGGCATTGTGCTAAGAGCTGGATCTGTGGAACAGATCATACAACATATAAAGATACATACAACATAGAAGATAACAAATCTGGTAGCCTGGTTTTCAATAAACCCTATTAGATTGTAAGCATCTTGAGGGCAGGGACTGTCTTTTGCCTCAGTGCTTAGCTTTAGTTGTTGTTTAGTTGTTGTGTCTGACTCTATGTGACCCCATTTGGGGTTTTCTTGGCAAAGATACTAGAGAGGTTTGCCATTTCCTTCTCCGGGTCATTTTATAGATGAGGAAACTGAGGCAAACAGGTTAAGTGACTTTCCCAGGGTCACACAGTTAGTAAGTGTCTGAGGTCAGACTTGAACTCCGGTCTTCCTGACTCTAGTCTTGGCACTCTGTCCACTGGGCTACCTAGCTGAAAGCCCTAAATGGGCTCATGGAGTCAGAAATGACTGAAAAATGACTGAATAATGTGTAGCACATTATAATAAATAGTGCTTGATTAAGCTCAAAGACCTCACCTACTAGTGTAAGAATTCTCTATTTGGAAAAAAAAAATGTTGGGGAAGCTAGATAGTAGTCTGGCAGAAATTAGGTTTAGACTAACACCTCACACTATGTTAAAACATAAGCTAGAAATGGATATGTGACATAGATATCAAAGGCCATATCATAAATTAGAAAAACAAGGAAGAAATTTTTTTTCAGATCTGTAGATAAGGGGAAGAGTTAATGACTAAAAAAGAGACAGGATCACAGAAGAAAAAAGGACAAATTTGATTACGTAGAATGAAAATGTTTTTGTATAAGCAAAACCAATAAAACTAAAATTAGAACAGAAACAGTTAACTAGGGGGGAATATTTTTAATGTTTCTCTGATAAAGTTCTCATATCCAAGATTTGTCATTGATTCAAATTTATAAGAATAAGAGCCACTAGATAAATATTCAAATAATATGAATGGGCAGTTTTCAAAGAGAGAAATGGAAACTATTTTATGAAAAAGTGCTCCAGATCGCTAATAATTAGAGAAATGCAGATTAGCATAACTAAGGTTTTGCCTTACACACTCTCAAGTTGGCACAGATGGCAAAAACAGAAAATGACAAATGTTGGAGAAACTGGAGGAGAAAGGAAAGCAGGGAGGGCAGGAATGAAAGGAATTGAAAGAGCTGTTACAACTTGCAGGACGTGTTCCATCCAAGGCAAGGTGGTTCTTGAGGTGACCATGGAGCAGGCAGTGAATGGCAGCAGTTGGACTCCATTCGGATTCTAACACATTATTATCCAAAGGGATACAATAAGAATTGAGGAAATGAAGCAGAGAAGAGCAACTAGACTTGACCTGGTAAAAAAAGGCAAATGCATTTTAAAAGTATTCAAGGATTGATTATTAAATGCCTCAAAAGGCTCCTAAAAGAATTGAGAAAATGACAGAATTAATTTTTAAAGAAGTGACTGTAAGAATCACAGTCCATAAATACCTACCGGTCCACAGATCTAATTTTTTTAAAATCTTTTTGAAAGTGGTCTCTGCATATACTGAAGATATCCTTGATGAAAATAGGAGAAGGGAGCAGGCAGGCTTTTAAAAGTGGTTGCTTGTAGCAGACACATCTTCACATTCACACAGTTACTGAGAGGTGGAGATAATACAAGATCCCATTATGTGTATTCTTTTAGGCAGCTAGCTAGTGACGCATAGGAGAGAATGCTGGGCTTGGAGTTAGGAATTCCTGAGTTCAGAGTTAGCCTCTAGGCATTTACTAGCTGTGTGACTGGGTAAATAATTTCACCACTGTGAGGGTCAAATGAGACTGCCTGGCACTTAGTAGACACTTAATAAATGCTTGTTCCCTTTCACTTTATTACAAAGAAAAAACATTTAACAAAACACAAACCTAAATGCTACCTTCCAACAACCTGTGCCTTTCCCTTGTGTTAAGGTCATCCAAAATTATTTGACAGTTTCAACCATAGAAATAAGCTTTGTTCAGTGCCTCTATCATTATTAAGCAAGGCATACAATAGATAGATCTGTTCATCAAAGGTGTTTGTTGATGTCATGGAGAATTTCCTAGGCAGAGTCCTTAGGTATAGATGGTGAAGTTCTATCTTAAATGTTCTTGATTATGATGATTATACCAAACTCTGGAGTGCTATAAGGGGCTCCGAAAAGGGATCCACAAAAACTCAAAAGAGTTTTGTTTAACAATCCACATTGGAAAAACCAAGTGGATGATGAATACCAAATGTCCAAGCTGTGAAAATGCTGTGTAGTTAGATGGACAGGCACTGCATGTGGTCAGTGAGGCCCAGAATAGGGGAGGAGGAAGATATCGGCCTGGATCTCAGCTTCAGATTAAATAATGTATATTAATCTATGTAAATTTTGGCTCTTCTTATTCTTTGAAAAATTGAGCGACCTGTTAAGTGATTTTCCAAACCCATCTTTTGAACTGATGCCAAAACCAATTTATTTAACACTGATAGGAGTGCAAGGAGTGATACTAAAGGCATTTAGAAGGACTTATGTAATTGGAAAAGCAGGTAGGCAAGTCATAGATTAAGATCACGGTGTAACAAAAAGATGGATAGACCATATTGAATTCATTCTCTTAAAAAAATTTTTTTTAAAAGAATGGTTCCAGTGAGTTGGGTAGATGATCTGCAGTGGATTTATGGGAAGAATCAGTTGGGACAACAAGGCATGAGTAGGTTGGGGTCTGTGCTGTTGAGAAAAGCACCCATAGCAATATGATTGTGGCTCCATAGTACTGCACAAAGTCAGAGAATCATAGCTTTGGAATTGGGAGGACCTTTAGAGGTAGTACAGCCACCTCATTTTACAGAAGAGAAAAATTGAAAGCCATAGAAGTTAAGTGCCCTGCCCCGGATTACAGGTACTTGTGTATGTCTTTTCTTTTATGGAAGGCAAGTAGGCAGCCTCATCTAGCAAATGCTGGACTTGCAGTCAGGAAGACCAGAGTTCAAATCACACCTCTTCTTTATTAATCATTTACCTCATTTTCTTCATTGTGAAATGGAAATAATAATAATACTCCTCTCTCGAGGGTGTTGTGAGTATCAAATGAGATAATGTACAATATGTACTTTGGAATCACAAAGAATTATTTGTAAACTTCTATTATTCTTACAAAATAATAATTTGTAAATCCCTTGAAAGCAGGGTCCATGTCCTATTCTTGCCTTGTCATTTTAATTTATTTAGACTTTTTCTTTGGTAAGCTATTTGATTTTACTAATTATATGTACTCTACTATATGCATTATACATTTAATATAGGTGCTGATACAGTTTAAACAGACCTTTTTATTTTGTTTTTTTATTTTCCCCTCATTTTTCATCGTTAGGAATGAATTGAAATCCTGGTAGAAGAGAACTTTATGAGTGAGTGGATACCAAAAAGAATGCTGTGAAGGTGGTAGAAGGACCACCAGAAGTCAGAGGACAAGAGCTGGTATGAAACTTTATTAACTTTAGTTCTGTAGTTAAATCCTTCCATGGGAATTGCCCTACTGTTGTGCTGTTAAGTTATTGTTATATGAGGCTTGATTCTTTGTAGCTATACATATGACCTAAAAGAAAGGTAGGCATCTCAGAATGAGTTGTTTTCATTTCTGTCATTGTGTTCTGTGTTATTCTAAGCCCATGGGAATACAAGTCTTGGAAATACATTCATATTAGGCTCCGGTATAGTATCACCCTTGAGTTATGATTGACCCCATATATATGAATTATAGGAATTGCTCAGGGCATTGCTGCATTTAGAACCTTGCCCTACTCCTAAAGAAGCCAGTGTTGCTGCTATATGACCCTCCTCCGTCCACTGTTGGAAAATTTGTGAGAATCTAAAAGCCTTAGCCCCTCCCCAACTCCTGGAGCCCTGCCTGTCTCCTTTCCTCACACACAAATGCCTTCATGGGAAGATTGAGGCTGGAGCCCTGTGTAGTATGAGAGGCCGTCTTTTGATCTGTGGGACAAAAAACGGGGAAATAGTTCACTGGAGTGCAGAGGTGTTCTTGGCTTTCTTGGAACTGGGAAAATATTTTCAGCAGCAACAGTATCAGCAAACAAATACTTACAGAGTATACACTGCAGTGGTCTATAAGAGACTAACAAACTGGTTTGGAAGTTTGGTTGGGAGTCAGCTGGAAGAAGAAATGCTGAGTTAGGAATTGAACCTGAGAAGAAACATGGAATACTGTTTATCCAGAAGACCTGGGTTTATCTTTCTTGGATTCTGTTTCCTCTTCTATAAAAATAGAGGGTCAGATTGGGGAAATCTTTGAGGTCTTTGCTTGCTCTGATATTCTGTGATTCTTTGTTGAGCTTGAGTGGGTGAGGAGATATTTACATAGAGACATCCAGCAAGCGTTTGGAACTCCATTTTGTTCAACATATATCTATTAACTGCCTATTCAAGTCAAGTCAAATCAGCAAGCATTTATTAAGTGCCTAACATGTGCCAGGTACTATGCTAAGCACTGGAGATACGAAGAGAGGCAAAAAACAGCTCCTACTTTCTTCCTATTGTTTTTTTTAAATTATTTCTTTTTAAAATTCAATTTTTTAAAAAATTTTGAATTTCAAATTCTCTCCCTCCCTCCTACCTATTGAGAAGGCAAGAAATACTACATCAATTATATGTGTAAAATCATGCAAAACATATTTCCATATTAATCATGTTGCAAAAAGTATCTAGAAGAAGAAAGTTAAAAAGTTATGCTTCAATCTGCAATCAGTTCTTTCTGTGGAGGTGGATAGCATTTTTCATCAAAGCCTTTTGAAATTGTCTTGGATCATTGTATTGATATGAGTAGCTAAGTCATTCTGAGTTGATCATTGAACAGTATTGCTGTTACTCTGTACAATGTTCTCCTGGTTCTACTCACTTCACTTTGTATTAGTTCATTTAAGTCTTCCCAGGTTTTTCTGAAACCATCCTCCTCATGATTTCTTATAGTACAATAATATTCCATCACAATCATCTACCACAACTTGTTCAGCCATTCACCAGTTGATGGGCATCCCCTCAATTTCCAATTCTTTGTCATCACAAGAAGAGCCACTATAATTATTTCTGTACATATAGAACCTTTTTCTTTTTCTTTCATCTCTTTGGGATGCAGACCTAGTAGTGATATTGCTGAGTCAAAGAGTATGCACAGTTTTATAGCCCTTTGGGCACAGTTCCAAATTGTTCTCCACAATGGTTGGATCAGTTCACAACTCCACCAGTAGTGTATTTGTGCCCCTGTTTTTTCCTCATTCCCTCCAACATTTGTCATTTTCCTTTTTAGTCATGTTAGCCAATATGATAGATATGAGGTGGTACCTCAGAGTTATTTTAATTTGCATTTCTCTAATCAGCAGTGAATTAGAGCATTTTTTCACATGACTTTAGGTAGCTTTGATTTCTTCTGAAAAGTGCCTGTTCATATACTTCGACCACTTATCAATTGGGAAATGACTCTCATATTCTCATAAATTTGACTCAGTATCAAAAATAAATGCATCACCAAATGAAAATGAAATTAAAGCAATTATTTAGGAGCGCTTTTGCCCAATTATATGCCAATGAATCTGACAATCTAAGTGAAATCAATAAACATTTAAAAAACTATAAATTGCCCAGATTAACAGAAGAGGAAATAGAATACACAAATAACCCTATCATAGAGAAAAAGAACTTCCCTAAGAAAAAAAATCCTCAGGACCAGATGAATTCACAAGTGAATTTTACCAAACATTTAAAGAACAGCTAATTCCAATATTACATAAAGTATTTGGAAAAATAGGCAAAGAAGGAATCCAACCAAATTCCTTTAATGACATAAATATGGTGCTGATGCCTAAATCAGGAAGAAGAAAAACAGATAAAGAAAACTATAAACCAATTTCCTAATGAATAGTGACAAAAAAATTTAAATAAAATACTAGCAAGGAGATTGCAGCGATATATCACAAAGATCATACTCTGTGACCTGGTGGGATTTATACCATGAATGCAAGGCTGATTCAATATCAGGAAAACTATCCTGACCTTTTCTTGGCTCTGCCACTCCAGAAGTCGATTGGAGGTGTTATTTTAAAGTTTTTTTTTGGAGAGGAGTATTGGGAAAGTTTAGCTGAGTTGCAGTCTCTACTCTGCCATCTTGGCTCTACCTTTCCAGTCCCTGCTTTCAAGGGGCTCACAGCTCAGTGGGGGAAACAATAGGTAAACTACCATGTCCAAACAAAATATATACAGGATAAATTGGAAATAATTTCAGGGAAAGCACTAAGATTAAGGAGGACTGAGAAAGTCTATGTGTATAGTACTGATTGGCCATGGGGATAAAAAGATGAACAAAGACATAAATTGCCCTGAGGTTATTTATAATCTATGCTGGGAGGATGTGGAAGTTATCCAATTAGGGGTAATCTTTGAAACCATGAGAAGCAAAGAACTCTGAGGGAGTAAGGCTAGATTAAGAATGGTGAACTCAGCCTTGGGCAATACCTACAGTTAGACCTGGGGAGAAAGAAGCCAAGCCATTAAAATAGAGAGATCAGAGACCCTCCTGTGTCTCCTTCGCTCCCACCCTGGGAGAGATTACCTGTTGAGAAGAATGTACTTGTGAAGAGATTGAGAAGTCCTGCAGTGAGTACCTTAAACACATTTCACCTCTCAGCCAGTATTTCCTTTTTACTATGATGGGCATGGTAGTTTGCTGCCCATCATTCTACTCAGCACCCTGTGACTTTTCAGCTGTAGAATGCCTAGGCTGGAGCTCCTCTCCCTGACCATTTCCACTCCTTGCTCCTTCACGTCCATCCATGTCAGGATCCATCCATCCCGTTTTTCCTTAACTTTCCATTGCAGCCTCAGGAACTTGCATTCTATCAAATGAATAAGCAAATACAAAAGCATTTATTCATTTCCTATTTTGTGCCAATCACTGATCTAAGCTAGGGATGCAAATAGAAAAGCAAGATGACCCCTGCCCTCAAGGAAATCATGCTGTAATTGGGAGGGAAAACGCACTAATGACAACACAACTTCAAGAATGCATGGAAAGGCCCATTGGTCTTCCACTGGAAGACATAGAGTTGACGACTCCCATTTCATCCCACTGGTGTGAGCATTCCCTCTGTTTGGCATTCAAAGCCCTTTGTAGACTAGGCCTCTCCCCTTTGTATTTTTTTAAATTAGTGTACATGTTGCTTCCCCCCAATAGAATATGAACTCCTTGGAGGCAGATACTGTTTCATTTTTGTCTTTATATCACCAGCTTCTAGCACAATGCCTGGCACATAGTAGGTGCTTAATAAATGATTGTTGAATTGAAATGGATTGAAGAACAAGAACCCTTGTCTGGTATCACAGAACCAAAGCAAGACAGTGCTGTAGAAGCCAAGAGAGGAGAAAGTTGCACGAAGCATAAAGTATCAGTAGATAACACAGAGAAGTCCAGGAAAATCATTGTTCTTTGCCCTAGAAATTAGCTTTGCTAGAGGAAAAGACAAGCGTAAATATAAACAAAATATCACTTTTCTGGGATCAGCAAGCACCATGATGGAGACTGGCTATTAGAGACTATTTGGCAGTTTCTAATAAATCATTTAAACAAATAAACAGCTTTTTAAATTTCACTCAAAGCATCTCTAACATCAGTACATTATATTCTTAATGAGATAAATGGCTGTTGTTAGTTGGTGATGGCTATAAAAAGAGGCATATGCCATGTGAAGCATGTGTTCTGTACACAACACATCCATGATATTTGCTGTCTTGGCCATAGAAGCGTGCCTTGCCTCTGAGGGAAACTAGCAAACCTGTTCCAGTTCCTCGTGGTGTTAGACACCTGGTGTCATTTAGATAGCACCTGTTCTCTGCTGTTCAGTCTCTCACCCATCGTGATCTGCACATTTTTATCAGTGAGACTCAGGCACGTATGAGATTCTGGATTGGGCCCAGATCTCAGTTATCTTTTACAGTCTGTCAGAAATTAGTGTGAAAAGTAAGTATGAGAGTCACTTTGCATTTTTCATAGCCTCTTCTCTGTCATATGCTCAAAAATAACTCTCTGATACATTCTCCACTCTGGGAAAAAAATTTATAGACACACTTAACTATTTGTTGTGTTTACAGACTAGGAAATTACATGCAGAACAAGTGGAATATGGGGTCATATAGGAAAATAAATCTCGGTTATTTCTTTAACTCGTCTGTTGTAAGGATTTACAGTCCGGTCTCTGATATTTGTGCCCTTTCTAATCCTAGGCAAGTCATTATATCTCTGTATCTTGGGTGGTTTCCCAGATTTATCTGCTAACTTGATTGAGGGAGTTCCCACTTGAGGAATTTCCCAATTTGAGGTGATCACAGATACTTTGTATTTTCCTATGCATGATTTTATGGAATTGTGCTGCATCGACTGTTTTTATTTGAACAGTTATAAACCTGTGTTCCATATTTCTATTTGTATTTATCAAAATTCTTTTATTTAACCTTGTTGTTTATTGAGAATCTACCATGCAAATAACAGGGAATACAAAAGAAATATAGGACCAAGTCTTTGACCTCCAAGATCAAATTGCTGTATTTAGGAATAAAGGGTACAGGAAACCCTTAAAATCTTTCTTTAAAGGAAATTCTACAAAAAAAAACAAAGAAAAGAATTGCAAAGTGGGAAGACATTGATGGGCTGCAGTTTGTACTAGTGGAGAAAGTACCAACACAAGTGAGTTGACCAATCTATCAGATAATTACTAATGAGGTATTGATGACTAGTTATTCTATGTCCATGACATCTTCTGTCTTTCTGTCTTCCTTTTCTGGTTTCCCACCCACTTTCGACTATAGTCTCCAGGCAGCTCAGTTCTGGAATACTAATACTTTGTATTTCGAAAGTGCTTTGCAATATAATGTTACTATTAATGTAGCACTTTATAGACACAGTATCCTAAATGCATTGTTTCATATGATTTTCATAAAAATTCTGCTAAATAATTTTGTAAGCAATAAACTCCCAAAGTGTTTATTAATGTCTACTGTGTGCTAGGCAGTGGAGATACAAAGACAAAAATGAAATAAACATAAGCTTCTTGAAGGCAGGAACTGTCTTAAAGACAACATGAATGCATCTATATACAAAATAAATCCAAGGTAGATTTCAGAGGGAGACACAAGTATTGGCTGGGGTGGATCAGGAAAGGAATACCAGAGAAGTTGGTGGAGAGCTTTGAAGTCTAGTGGGAGAAGTTTGGACGTATTCAAATAGGCAAGAAAGAATAATCATAGGTTCCTATACAATATGTAATTTTTCCAGTGCTTAGCACAATGCCTGGCATGTGTTAGAAACATAAGAAATGCTTATTGACTTGTTGACTTAACGTTGATGGGGGAGCGATGTAATGAAAGTGATATTTTCAGAAGATTCATCTGGGGGCTATAATAAAAGGAGCTGGGAGAGATTGGAAGCAGGAAGATAAATTAGGAGGCTGTTGTAATTCATGATGTGAGTTGAATAAGAGTTGAATAAGAGTTGAATAGAGTAAGAATGGAAAAGAATTGGAAATTTTTAAATGATATTTTGAAGGATAAGTTAACAGGAGGAGGGTACACACCAGTAAAAGTGACTTTAAGGTTTTATTTCTGGGGTGCCATACATGTACAAATTCCAGTGGCTTCTTGTTGCCTCTAGGATCAAAAACAAAATGCTGTGCTTGGCATTCAAAACCCTCTATAACCCCTCCTACCTTTCCAATCTTCTCACACCCTACTTCACGAATGTACTCTTCCATCTAGTGACACTGGGCTCCTGGCTGTTCCACAAATACACAGTCCATCTCTCAGTTTTAGGCTTTTTCTCTGGCTGCCCCTCATGCCTCCTCAACTCTGATTACTGACCTCCGTGGCTTCTGTTAAGTCTCAGTGAAAATCCTATCTTTTACAGGAGTACTTTCCCAACCCCACTTAATTCCAGTGTCTTCCCTCTCTTAATTATTTCCTACTTATCCTGCATATAGCATCCTTTGTTATATTTATTTGTATATTGTCTCCCCCGTTAGACTGTAAACTCCTTGAGGGTAGAGACTGTCTTTTGCCTCTTCTTATATACCCAGCTATCATCACAATACCTGGCACATAGTAAGTGCTTACTAAATGTTTATTGAATGAATGAATGTAAAAGGATTGTTATTAAGTATGAAATAAAGCTAACAAGAAGTAAAATGAAGCTAAAGAATAACTTAGAGATGTTGAAATATATATAATACCTTCGACCTTTCTAAATATATACTTTTTTAAACAGCAAAATGATAGTAATCAAGTTTTATACATGACAACGGAAATCCCCTTCTTGTTTGGGGATTTCTGTGCTCAAGAGAATTCCATGTGTGGAATTCAGTGTCTGTGATTATGGAATCTTGAAAGTTGTTAAAAAGTAAAGGCTTGGAATGGAGGCCTATATTTTATAATGTATGGATTAGTTAAATATAACCTAAATGTAGTGCAATAAAAGTAACTTGGTTGTGAGATCAATGGCACCCTGGAAGAAAAGACTATTATTTCTCAATTTTATTTTTTAAAATGATTTTTGAATTATTTTTTCTATTACCAAGGATTTTTTCCTTCACCTCCTCTTCCAAACAAAATCCTTGTAACCAATATACAGAGTCAAACAAAACCAATCTCCATATTGCTTACAGCCAAAAATGTGTAGTTCATTCTGCATAAAGATCATTATTTCTAAAGAATCCATAAAACAAAAGTTCCAATTCATACTGAAATGGCAACTTTTATATCCTTCTTACAACTTAAAATTCACATTAACAAGATAACTAAACATTCCATTTCAACTGTGGAGAAGTTCATAAAATCTTTCCTTTACCCACTGCATGAACAGTAACATAGCATATAATTTTTCTCCTGTAGGTCAAATGAAAATAGTAATAGGGAGCATCAGATTTAGGTGCTGAAATTGTAATAATCCTCTAGAACTAGGTAATAGATAATAGACTCTAGAGCTGGAAAATTCTTTAATAGTGACTCAGAAATCTTTAATCTTTGAGTTCCATATATTTTTAGCAACTGTTAGTGAGAAACATCTTTTAAGTGTGGGGTAAAGGGAATTTCATTATAATTAATTTTGGGGAGCCCTGGTTCTTGATGTAATGTGTACTTGAATTCATCAAATTACTTCTCTTCCTTTGATTTTTTTTATTAATTTATTTTGATTTATCAACAATCACTTCCATAAGCTTTTGAGTTTTAAATTTTTCTCCCCCCTTTTTTTATCCTTACTATGGGGACAAATAAGAAAATTTTTAAAAATTAAATATATGATTTAACTTTATGTGAACTGGTCATTTTCAGTGCTGAAACCTACTCCTTGGTATACGATTTATCAGCATTAGGCAACAAACTAAATTTGATCCAGGCATGTCCTAGGAAGTACTGCAAGACTCATTTTTACCCTGTACTAGCTCTGCAGACTTTCAGAAGCTTAACTAAGTAGTCAGTCCTCCAAAACCTGACAGTCTGTAACAAACCAATCAGAACCTGTTGCCCCTGTAACATGTCCGTGTTCAGTTTCTTTCCTCCTTCTTGGGATATCAGGCCACATCCAGCTGCAGCAGCTGCCGTGTCCTTCATTTCAAAATATGCCCTCTCTTGTTGCAGCGGCTGTCTTTCAAAGGAGATGGGATGGTGATCTCTCACCACCCTGTCTTCCGTGGACCCTTCTCACACCAGGATCCAGATTGCTGAAGCTGGCCATGGTGAGGCTGGATTTGACATATAGACAGACCTCCACCATGATCTCCAGTTGTCAGGGCAACTGCAGCATTCTCTGTAAGTATTTAAGCAGATAGAGTACAACTTGAAACCCTCTCTGTTCTCTTAGGATCACCATCACTAATTCCCAGGTGGGACGGGAAAATTCCCCTGCCCAAATGTTACAGGAGAGCTATTTGTGTGTCTTTGGGACAGAAAATGAAGACAGGTGGGAGGCCAAACCTGCTTTGTGGCAGTCAAGAGAAAACATTTTTGTTCATCATTTTTTTTCCCTGTGCTGTGAGTCTTTGTCTCTCTATCCTAGCATGAGAAAAAGGACAGTCAATAATCTATTCTCCATGGAAAAGACTTGGCAATGGTTCTGTTACCTCCATTGAATTACCATTGGCTTTGCGTGTTGGTGATTAAGCCACAATCTCTTCCTCTCTGCCTGGGAATCAAGATGGTGAAAATCAAATTGGCCTACAGAGTCGTAGTAGGATTGATGGTTAGCTAGTGCCACCTGCCACCATTCCTGTCTCCCACCACACAAAATAGTGGGATTTGGAGGGGTGGGGGTCTTAACTTTATGAATCATTTAATTTTAGATCTATGAGGGACTTTAAAAGTAACTTAATCTAGCTCCCTCCTTTTTTTTTTTTTTAAGTGAGGCAATTGGGGTTGAGTGACTTGCCCACAGTCACACAGCTAGGAAGTATTATGTGTCAGAGACTGGATTTGACTCCTGACTCCCAAGGCCGGTAGTCTATCCACTGTGCCACCTAGCTGCCCCCTTAGCTCCCTCTTTTTTATAGTACACTGGAGTACGTCAGTACCTCTGTCCAGGACTAAGGTCTTTTGCCAACTAGCTGTGGAACTTTGGGCAAGTCACTTAAACTTGCTTTGCTCTGTTAACTTTGGTTTGCTTGCTCTCATCTTGTCTGAAAGATGAGAAAGTTGAGCTCACTGATCTTTAAATTCTAGTTCCTAACATTCTATAAATTCCTGTGAAATTTGGCTCCGAGAAGCACCTGCCCCCACTTCTGCCCCTGGCCAGTAGCAGAGCTAGCTTTAGAAGGCAGGTTTCCATCCATTCTAGGACTGCAGACCCTTTCCTTGGCCTGTAGGTCAGTTCCTCCAAGCATGGTATGTGAGGAATGGAATTAACGCCACCTCCAGACTTGGATGTTACAGGGTAAGAAAAGGGTCTGTAGCTAGCTCATCTGATCCTCACAGCAACCCTGGGAGATGTTATTACAGGTGTTACACTACTGGTACAGATAAGGAAACTGAGGCTCAGGGACTTTAATGAATAGCTTAAGTTTACATAGCTAGTAAATGTCAGGGGTGGGATTTGAACCCAGATGACCTCTACAAAGGCGTAACAGATAGCATTTTGAGTATTTATTGAATGAATGACACTGAATATTTAGAGAATCTTTATAGTGGAGTCTCCGACTTTTTTCTATCAAGAAGCTGTTTTGAAATTGTATTTTGTCAAAATGAGCTTATTAGAATGCTTAACAAAAGTAAACATAATTGTTAATGAAAGGCCTGCAACAACATAAACATGTCCTGACTGACCACTGAATCTGTCCATCTGTCACTGAATTTCCCCTCTTGCGTTGAAGCTACAGAATTAAAGGTGCTCTCTGCATTTGCCACGTACTTCCTAGTTGCCTTGCCTCATAGCTACTCACCCCATGTTTGCTCCCACTTTCCTGTCGCCATTGGGTCCATCCTCCTCTCTCTGCTGCTACCATCCTGTGGAGCGGCACATGGATATCTCTCCCTCATTTAAAGGGGCAGAGAAAAAGATCAGAGCTTTGGGATTGCAGAATATTTGAATTGAAGGCACCTTAGAGGACAGCTGATAGATGCCATCTCCCCCCGCCTCAGGATCCCTGGCTCTGAGGCCCATTCCTCTCTCTCATTGGAGACAGTGGAGAGTTCCTCTCAGATTCTTCACCTGAGGAAGGCATCCAGGCTATCTCTTCATTTCCCCTGACTGAACTGGACTTCATCATGCCCCTTGGGTCCCACTCCCCTTTCTAGCTTCTTTTTATGTATTGTCTCCCACCTTCAGATTGTGAGCTCCTCAAGGGCAGGGACTGTCTTGCTTTTTTTTGTATCCCAAGCACTAAGCACAATGTTTGGCATATAGGATGTGCTTAATAAATGTTTGTTGACTGACTGATTTGATGTAGGAAGACTCCTCTACACCATCCCTACCAGGTGGTCATGTGACCACCTAGATGTGCAGGCACATCTAGTGACAAAAGATCTTACTACCTCACAAAGCAGACCGTTCTATTCCTGGACAGTTCTAATTATCTAAAAATTCTTCCTTACATTGAGCCAACATCTGTTATAGTTCTATTATTGCCCTCTTGAGCACTACAATAAAAGTGTAATATCTTTTCCATATGATAGGCCTTCAACTATTTTAAAGTAGCTATTAACCCTCCCCAGCACTCCATTCACCACCTCAACCCCCAATATTTTCCTGTCTAGGTTAAACATCTTCATTTATTTCAACCATCCTCTATATAAAAGTTTCCAAGACCCCTTACCAAAGATTTAAAGTTGGAGGGAGCCTGTAAGGGCAGCTCGTCTATCCTTGTCTTTAAAAAAAAAAAAAAAGACTTCTGGAGTATTGTACTGGTACTCCAAATATGGTCTGAGCAGCTTAGAATGAAGGGAGACTGCGATCTCCCTTGATTTAGATCCTATGTTTCTATTAATTTGGTCTAATAGATTGGGTATTTGGCAGCCAAGTCACACTGTCAGCTTACATAACTAGTTGAAATTGACATAGTAAGATTTAAACATGAAGAATAGTGCTCCTGAGAGATTGGAGGACTTTTGCTCTCCAGCAGAAGGTCCCCAGGAAAGTCTCCATTGGGCCTTTTTTCACTAATTGCCTTTACTGTTAACAATGTTTTGGCAAATGCTCAGTCAAAGCTCTGTGTGTGTGTGCCTTTGTGTGTGTTGTGTCTGTCTGTCTGTGCTGGGCCACTTGTTTGACAACTGTTTCCCTCTGTTCCTTAGGGAGATTACAATCAGATTGTCAAAACAGTCTTATGAATAATCTTCTTCTTAGTTCTTTGACAGTTATCCAAATGTGTTCCCTCACATGAGGATTTAGTATCTAACAACCTAATTCCAAAATATAATTTAAATAAATTCTATCTGAGTGATACAATAGAACTAATAGCTCTGGTTGGCAAAGTTGTTGAAGACTTAATCAGCTTTTCTGTAGAAATTAAGTGACTTGCCTAGGGCATCTAGCTAATTAATGGTAAGGCTAGGATGGGGACGTAGGCCTTTTGGCTCTTCTTCCTTCTACACCCTCCTCCCAGGGGAAGGATTTGCCCTGGCCTCTGAAAATAAAGGCCAGAATCAAGGTCTAGTCCCTACTCTCTGTTATAAGACTTCTTTAATGTGAATGCACTGTTTATTGGACTGATTAACTATATCTTTATGTTTTATCCTTTGGTTAAAAAAATTTTATCTGTTTTTCTAACACATTAATATTTGCTTTAGTGAACTGAATATATCTCATCATTATCAAAAGTAGAGAGGGAGTTGGAAAAGCCTATATTTTTCACTATTGTTAGTGAGCTTTTCGTTCCCATCTGCCAAGAAAGCAAAACTTAACATGGTCTGCCTCTTTTGCCTAATGTATTTGAAGGTAATTTGTTACAATCTTAAATAGTTTGCATCCTCTTACTATTTTTGTTGAGACGTTTCATATCTTTGTAATATTCATCTTTAGTGGTCCTCACCTAATTTCTACCTTTTGTGACTGTCTTAAATATCCTTCAGGTTCTTAGTTCTAGGTCTCACCAAGTTAATCTCATTACCTTTCCTGTGCCCTCTCCAATAGAACCTCAAGTCTTTACTGTCCATTTCAGCATTTAGTTATATTTGTTTTAAAATATACATTTCAAATGACTTCATTGAATAGCATCATTTAATTACTTTGAGGAAGAAATCAAAACACTAATTCCAATAGGGTAATAAGAAACACATAGTAGTGTTCAATATTTGTTTAATGTGCCTTAATTGTTTTCTCGTGAATAAAATCACAGAATCATGACATTTTAGAGTGTAAAGGACCTCAAAGCAATCATAGTGCAAACCAAACCTGAAAGGGAATCTACTTTAGATCGTCTCTGAGAAGCTGTTATCCAGCCTTTGCTTGAAGACCTACCGGGAGGGAGGGCCTCTTTTAACCCCTAAGGTAGGCCATTCTACTTTGGCAGCTCTCATTGATAGGAAGTTTTTCTTTCTGTAAAACTAAATCTCTTTGCAGTTTTTCCCTTTGCTCCTGCTTCTGTGTAGAACAAACAGTACATCTTGCAAATGACAACCCTTCAAGTCCTTGGAGCCAGCTACCATTTTCACCTCCTGAGCCTTCTGTTCCGTAGATGAAGCATCTCCCTTTGGTCTTTGTAGATAGAGCATGCTCTCCAGTCTCATCATCCTGGTCCTCTGGCAGCTTGTCAATGCCTGTCCCAAAGTGTGGTGCCCAAAAGGGAATGTCATCCTCCAGTTTCTTTGGGACTGGCACAGAGGGCAGTGACTCTGTCACCTTCCTTGCTCTGGACACTGTTCTCCCCACCTTGGATGATAGCAGCAGTTGTTCAGCTATCAGCTGCACTGTTGAGTCACTGAGTTTGTGTAGTCTGTTTAGAAACAAACAACAGACATCTTTTTCACAGGAATTGTTGGCCCATCATGCTTCATTCATTCAACCTATAAGCATTTACTACATGCCAGACCTTGTGCGAGGTACTTGGGATACAAACATGGAAACACAAGGCCCTGCCTACACGAAGCTTATGCCCTATTAGGGGCAAATAACATGAACAAAATTAAGTAAATTTAAAAATATGTCAAAAGTAAGTTCAATCAAATTTTTGACAGATGGGAGATGAGAGTGGGAAGAACACTAGCACGCGGGCATCTGGACAGGGATTGAATAGCTGAATTGTGTCTTTGAGGAAGGCAGTATTTTTTTGAGGGCTGGAGGGACTGCATGTTCAAATAGCACGGAGGGAGGAAATGAACTG